CTCTGCAGAGCTTCAGCCAACGCTGGTGCTTATGCTATGTGTGTGCTCTGTTCTCTCTCTCTTCTTCTATCTTTAGTCATAGTGCGTGGCCGGACAATGATAGTCGTGGTCGGCAATGCTGGTGAGTGGTCGACTTACCCGAGCCGATGATCATGTGGGCCAACAAGTGGTATCAGAGCCGTACAAGCGCCGTCGCCGGACTAACCACTGGCGGTGACAGACGGTTTGGAGATGGGCGACAGCAGTGGCACTGTTGTGGCTGCCCAGCCACGATAGAAGGTCGTTATGCACACGATGCGGGAGGTCAGCAGCACCAGTTGGCCGACGCTGACTCGCACCAACTATGGCTAGTGGGCGGTGACCATGAAGGTCAAGCTCAGAGCCCGGCGGCTCTGGAATGATGTTGACAAGGGCACCGACAACGAAGAAGATGACATGTCAGCGTTGGAGGCTATCCTCGCTGCTGTATCGATGGAGTACAGGGAGCCGTTGGGGGCGAAGAGCTCTACTAAGGAGGCGTGGGAGGCCATTGCGGCGATGCGCGTCGGTTCCAACCGTGCAAAGAAGGCGACGGCCCAGCTGCTGAAGCAAGAGTACGCCAACCTCAAGTTCAAGGATGGTGAATCGGTGGAGGACTTCTCCCTCCGCCTGTAAACGCTCATCAGCAAGTTGAGGAGCCACGGTGTCACCATCGACGAAGAAGAGGCGGTCTCCAAGTACCTCCACTTCATGCCGGTGAAGTACATCCAGATCGCTCTCTCCATAGAGACGATGCTGGACTTGTCCACCCTTACCATTAAGGATGTGATAGGTCATCTGCGGGCGGTGAATGAGCGCATAGAGCAGGCCACAGCAACGAAGGACAGCGGCAAGCTGCTGCTGATAGAGGAGGAGTGGGCTGCCCGGAGAAACGCCAGGGTAGCCTCCTCCAGCCACGGTGGTGATGGCAAGCGTCGCGGCAAGGCTTCTTCGGAGAAGAAGAAGAAGGTCGACCCCAACGCCTGCTGACGCTGCGGGAAGATGGGCCATTGGGCAAAGAGTGCCCAAATCATAAGTAGGAGAAGAAGGTTGAGGCTCATCTGGCATAGGTTGATGATGATGATGAGGCCACTCTCCTGATGGCGACGTTCCGTGCACTACACGACATTGAGGCCGAGAAGAAGGAAGAGGTGCTGGCAGTGGAAGGGCCTGGGAAGGCTCTGAAAGCTATCTACCTCGACAAACTACGCGCCCAAGTCCATCTCAGACGTGTGGGTGGCGAGCAGGAGCAACGGTGGTACCTGGACTCCGGTGCCAGCAACCACATGATAGGTTCCAAGGCGGCCTTCTCCAAGCTCGACGACGACGTGACCAGCACGGTGAAGTTTGGTAACGGCTCAAGGGTGGCTATCCAAGGGCATGGCACCATCATCTTGAGGTGCCAAAACGGCGAGCACCGTACACTAACGGATGTATATTACATCCCGCAGCTACGTTCAAGCATCATCAGCATTGGCCAACTGGTTGAGCGCGGTAGCGAGGTACTGATGAAGGACGACCTCCTCAGGATCAGGGACCGGGAGCAGCGACTTCTTGCCAAGGTGAAGAGGTCCTAGAACCGGTTGTACCTGCTCGACTTGAAGGTGGAGCAGCTGGTGTGCCTGGCAGCATGGTACACCGAGGAGCCATGGCCGTGGCATGCCCGGTTCGGCCATCTTAGCTTCGACGCGCTTGGTCGGCTAGAGAAGATGGTCCGAGGGCTGCCCCACATCAAGCACGAAGGCGAGCTATGTGATAGCTGTCTGGCCGGGAAGCAGAGGAGGCTACCGTTCTCAAAGGCGGCCAAGTATCGCACGGCGGACGCTCTCGAGCTCATCCACGGTGATCTCTATGGGCCAATCATGCCAGCCACAAACGGTGGTCGACGATACTTCCTTCTACTCGTGGATGATTGTAGTCGCTATATGTGGCTGCAACTCCTGACGAGCAAGGACGAAGCAGCGGCGGCGATCAAGAAGTTCAAGGCATGCGCGGAGGCGGAGGCGGAGAGCGGCAAGAAGCTACGCGTGCTGAGGACTGATCACGGCGGTGAATTCACTTTGGTGGAGTTCGCTGCATACTGCGTGGATCAGGGTGTGGTGCGACACCACACCGCACCGTACTCGCCATAGAAGAATGGCATGGTGAAGCGGCAAAACCAAATGGTGGTCGGCATGGCTCGATCAATGATGAAGGCAAAGGACATGCCGGCAAGGTTCTGGGGTGAGGCGGTGACCACGACGATGTTCATCCTCAACCGCGTGCGCACCAAGGCCCTGAAGGGCAAGACGTCGTTCGAAGCTTGGTATGGGCGCAAGCCAAGCGTGTCCTTCCTCCGGACATTCGGCTATATCAGCCACGTCAGGAAGACGAAGCCGGTCCTCATCAAGCTAGAGGACAGGAGCACACCAATGGTGTTCCTAGGCTACGTGGAGGGTATCAAAGTGTACTGGCTCTACGACCCATGCGGAGGCAAGGTGGTTGTCTCGCACGATGTCGTGTTTGACGAGAAGGCGGCCTGGGATTGGAACAGTCCGAGCATGAGGGAAGCTGGCGGCTTCACTAGCACCTTTATTGTCGAGCACTTGGTCATCCACGGTGGTGGAGACGCTAGAGTGGAGGCAACCACTCTAGCAAAAGAGCTGAGTACTCCTGAGGAGGTGCCGAGCACTCCGGGAGGGATGCCGAGCACTCCAGGTGATGTGTCATCACTCCGGTGGAACAGGGAACTCCATCGACACCGATCGAGTTCACCTTACCTCTAAGTGACATCACTAAGTTCATGGATGCCTTACACGAAGGTGAGGAGGTGCGGTTCCGTAGGCTGGACGACATCATCGGCAGCACAGGGCCTTTAGGCCTGGCGGGTCGGCTGCTCAATGACCCAGAGCTGCTTCTCATCAGTGCTAAGGAACCACCCACGTTCACGCTGGCCGAGCGCGATGCACACTGGCGACGGGCGATGTTGGAGGAGATGAATGCGATCGAGGAAAACAAGACTTGGGAGCTCAACGATCCACCTCCAGGATGTCGTTCGATCGGCCTAAAGTGGGTGTACAAGGTCAAGCGGGACGAGCACGGTGCCATTGTCAAGCACAAGGCATGACTCGTCGCCCGAGGCTTTGTCCAGTGCGAGGGCATCGACTTCAAGGAAGTCTTTGCGCTGGTAGCGCGCATGGAGTTTGTCCGTTTACTACTGGCTTTGGCAGCAGCAAAGGACTAGCGCGTCCATCACCTAGATGTAAAATCGACCTTCCTCAATGGCGAACTGGCGGAGACGGTCTTCGTTAGACAACCTCTGGGTTTTGCCTTCAAGGGAGTGGAGCACAGGGTGCTCCGATTGTGTAAGGCGCTCTATGAGCTGTGGTAGACCCCACGAGCATGGAACACCAAGCTTGACGCCACGCTGAGCGAGCTTCGGTTCACGAGGTACGCAACCGAGCACGTGCTCTACATGCGACAATGGGGGAAGGAGGAGCTCGTCATCAGCGTGTATGTGGATGACTTGATCATCACCGGTGCGCATGCGGAGGACATCGACAGCTTTAAGCGTGAGATGGCGGCTTGTTTTCGAATGAGCGATCTCGGCACGCTCTCCTACTACCTCGGTATCGAGGTGAGACAGGGGAAGGAGGCGCTCACGCTCGGTCAGAGCACGTACGCCTCGAAGCTGTTGGAGCGGAGCGGCATGGCTGAGTGCAAGCCGTGCGTGACTTCGATGGAGGAACGACTGAAGCTGACGAAGGCCAGTACCGCAGCGAAGGTAGATGCAACACGGGACCGAAGCATCGTCTACGGTCTGTGCTACCTAGTCCACACGAGGCCGGACATTGCGTTCGCCGTGGGCTACGTCAGTCGCTTCAGGGAGGATCCCAGAGAGGATCACTGGGCTGCGGTGAAGCGGCTACTGCGCTACGTCAAGGGAACAGTGGATCAGGGGATCGTCTTTCACAAGACCGGCGAAAGTAGGTTGCAGCTCACTGTGTTCAGCGATGTAGACATGACGGGGGATATCGACGGACGGCGGAGCACCTCTGGCGTGCTCGTCTTCCTCGGGTCGGCTCCAATCTCATGGCTGTCGCTGAAACAGAAGGTGCTAGCGCTATCTACGTGCGAGGCAGAGTACGTGGTGGCGGCCATAGTGGCGTGTTAGGTTGTGTGGCTACGCCGGCTGCTGGGCGAGCTGACTGGTGTGGAAGCTCACCCACCAGCACTGATGGTGGACAACCAGTCCGCCATCGCTCTCGCGAAGAATCCGGTTCTCTACGACTGGAGCAAGCACATCGACGTCAAGTTCCACTTCCTCAGGGACTGTGTCGATGGAGGGCAGATCGTCATCGAGTTCGTCGAAACTGGTCGGCAACTCGCGGACATCCTCACCAAGCCACCCGGCCATTTTCGATTCACGGAGCTGAAGAAGATGATCTGCATGGATGGGTTCTAGGGTTAGCTGCAGAATTAGGGGAAGAATTGTTATGTAAACTGTTGCTTCCCTGTGTGAACGCACGGCAAGGAAAGGCGGCGCCGAAAAGGCTCCTTGCTGTGGTACTGTAGGCGCTACAGGGGCAGGCGTCGAATGGCTCACCTGCCGCACTGTAGCCACAGTAGGGGCATGCGCTAAAGTCAGTCCTGCTGTCACATCTAGTCATTATAGCAGCATGACAGTTGTACTAGGATTAGATGAGTAGAGTTGTATATATAGTTTGTCACTGTAACTCAGTAAAGAGAGCGAGTTCAGTTTTTGACATCTCCTCTACAGAGCTCCGGCCAACGCTAGTGCTTATGCTATGTGTGTGTTCTGTTCTCTCTCCCTCCTTCTATCTTTAGTCATAATGTGTGGTCGGACAACAATAATCATGGTCGGCAACGCTGGTGAGTGGTCGACTCACCGGAGCCGGTGATCCTGTGCACCAACACTTCTCTCTGGCTTTGCCGGTAACTCTTACTACTGGATGAATCCATTTCAGACGGCCGGGACATCGATGGCAGGGGCAGGGCAAGTGCTGCATCTATGGAACGAATGGGGCATCCAGGTGCTGGTGCTGCTCAGCTTCACCCTCCAGATCATGCTCCTCATCATGGCGGAGCTCCGCCGGCGCATCGACTCCGGCGTGCTACGGGCCTTTGCGTGGTCAGCGTACATGCTGGCCGATGCGACGGCAATCTACGTGCTGGGACACATGTCTGTGACGAGCAGATCGCCGGAGCATGAGCTGGTGGCGTTTTGGGCGCCCTTCCTCCTCCTGCACCTCGGTGGGCAAGACAACATCACCGCCTACAGCATCGAAGACAACAATCTGTGGCTGCGGCACCTGCAGACTCTTGCCGTGCAGGTGGCTGCAGCTACATATGTCGTCTATGTGTCTTCCATCCTTGCCAGCGGGTCACTGCTCCGGGCAGCCACCATCCTGATGTTTGTGATTGGTGTTGCCAAGTATGGAGAGAGAGTGTGGGCGCTCAAGTGCGCTGGTAGTAGTACCTCAGAGCAGGGCGGCAACTATCAACCTCTAATTTACGTCTCGGGATCCCAGTACCGGACCATACCGTCCAAAAGTTGCCCGGATAAGGAAGATTACCTATTGGATGCTCACCTCTTCCTGGCTGTTCCTAAGAAATTCATGATGAGTATGTTGCGGGATGAAGAGGAGCTACGGTTTCATGATGTAGATGAGCATGCTTTGGAGGAGGTGGTTGAGATGCAACTCTCCTTGATGCACGATGTCTTGTTTACAAAGACTGAGGTGGTGCACAGTTGGTGTGGCCTCTGCATCCGTGTCATCTCGCTGCCGGGCACAGCCGTGGCATTGTTGTTGTTTTATCTTTTGGGTGATCAAGGTATGGGGAGGAGGAGTTACAGTAAAGTAGACATTGCTATCAGTTATGTCCTGCTTATTGGGGCTGTTGTTTTGGAGGCCATGTCAACTATTAAGGCAATGTTCTCGAGCTGGACAAGTTCGTTCCTGCTAAAACCGAGGAGGGATTTCAGTAGGCCAGGAGAGGAAGAAAGAAATATCAGTATCTTGCTTGGCCGTGGGATTACATCTGTCCGTCGGTTTGTGCATGCGGCAGAATGGAGAGGAAGGTACTGGTCCGGCTCCATGGGGCAGCACAACTTGCTTCAGTTGTGCGTTGGTAGCAGGGTCAGCCGAATCAGCAAAATTGCGAGATGGATGGGATTTGAGGACCCGTGGAATACGCTGGCTTACTGCTCCTCCGTCCCTGTCTCGGCATTCATCAAGCAGCTGCTGGTCAACCAGGTGTTGAGTTGCGGCGTCCTTCCAACAAATGAAGATCACATCGCTAACTCAAGGGGCCTGGCCGCCCTGAAGAGCAAGGGACTGTATGAGGAGCTGGAATGGAGCTTGGACCCCAAAAGGTCCTTGGAGCAGACCATCCTTACATGGCACATCGGCACTGACATCTATCTCTTTTGGTACAAGCAGAAGCAGGCGGAGCAAGCAAATGCCGGCGGTCAAGGCGACGACGACGCACGGAGGCAGAGGCAAGCTGATCTCGTCGAGGCGGTGGAGGCGCTCTCCAATTACATGCTCTTCCTCCTTGCCTCACGTCCCTACATGCTGCCTGCCCCTGTTGACCGTGGGATGTACGTTAATTCCTGCTATGAGTTGATTGGTATAATGTGCAGCTCAGCTGAGGATCTGGCCAACTTGCTGCTGCGGCACTACAGGGAGGAGGATACGGCGACGGCGACGGCGACGGCGACCCTGCAGTCTGATATCCCGTTTGACACTAGTCTGGGTGATGCACAAGACAGACAAAAGGCCTACCGGATAGACCTTACATTGCACCGTGGATGTAGGCTTGCCACAGAGCTGATCCACAACGGGATGCCAGACTTGCCTTCTGCTGCAATAATGCCGGAGCTCATCGCCCAGGTGTGGATCGAGATACTATGCTACGCAGGCCACCGGTGCAGCGCGTATTCTCATGCCAAGCAGCTTGGCAGCGGCGGTGAGCTCATCACTATCGCTTCCCTTCTAGTGGAATATGTCAGCGTGCAGGCCCTTCCGATGCTACCACCACTGCCATGAGAATCACCGGCCCTTTTAAAATGCATGCATTACAAACGCAATGCATGCATCATTTATTTGTCTACTTACTAAATGTATTTAGATATTTGTGAGTGTAATGATGGCTCTAATATCCATATACGGTTGATGCGAAGACTCAAAGGTGTACTCTTGCCGTCCCAAAATACAAGGCATGCATGTGTTCCACATGGTGTTCAAAACTTTCTTATTAATCAATGTTTCCCCCAATAATACATCATTTATAAGACTAATATAGTCTGAAAGAACTTTCCAATATGATCAGTTCATTTTCATAAGGAAAGAAAAATCATCCTTCATTCAAAAGAGGTCTAAACGTCCATAAGATGCTTCATAAGGACACTTACAACACTATTTAACATATCGGTAGTGCTAGCGTCCGGATGTCCAGACGGACGCCTGCGCGATGCACTCCGTTTTGTGCCCTCCACGCGCGGCCCGTGCCGCCCGAGCGACAAGAGGGGAAAGGGCACGACGCCTCCGATTCGAAAGGACCCGGCCGCGACGTCATATGGATGCCCTATCGGCGCCGGGAGGAGGACACACCAAGACGATGCAGCAGAAGGTGCGGAGGAGAGATGCAACACCCGATCTACTTTTGAAACATCCAAATATAACAGTTGCAACATACGTGTGAAGGCAGTTGAAACACTTGAAACATGCTTCTGAAACACTTGAAAAAAACATCTGAAAAAACAATTGAAAACCATTGCAACCATACGCAACATCCAAATAAAACACATGCAACGTATGCGTGAAGCATATGCAACATTCAGAAAAACACACTTGTAACATGCGTCCGGAAAACATTCATGAAACATACCTATGGAACATCTAAAACACTCGAAACATAAATTTGCAACATATCTCTAAAACAATTGCAACATATGCAACATGTGACCTGACGTCCGTCCGTCCCGGTAGAGCATTATCGATTTAATATGTCATCTAGACAGCACCTTTTATCTGACCTGACGCCGATTAAATAAGACAGAAAGAGTACGGTCATTGCCTCACGAGGCGCCAGCTCCGGCTCATTGTACGTCTTAGAACTGAACGCGGCCTCACCTCGCGTTGTAGTAGGAGTTTGGAATCGATGCCACCCCGCTCGATCTGGTGTGCCCAGATTACTTTTCCTTGTAACTCCTACTAAGCTGAAGGACTTCCATTACACTTATCTTTGGCTGCCTACATTATCTGTGAAGAAATTGACAAGCTTATACCAATCTACCATTGATCAATCAAGTGGGAGATAAACTCACAAGTTGGAAGGGGAAGGCTGTGTGTATGCATCACTGCTGGACGGCTAGACCTATTACAAGCTGTTCCGACAGCCATCCCAATTTATCAGATGATGATGCCTTGATGGCCTCCCACGTTCCTAAAAAAATAGATGGGCCATCTAACGGCTTTTTACGGGGCCAATATCTGCTGTAGTCGTTGCGCACTGCCATGTGCTAAGGTAGTACTGCTGGCTCAATGGACAACATTCTTACACATTGCACCCAAACTAGTGCGGTTGTTAGTAAAGGTTCATCAACGAACGCACAGTGGCGGAAAATCAACTAGATCGGCAGTGGATTAGAGATATCAAGAACACCCTTTCAGTTCAGGCAACCATTGAACCTGAAAAGCTGGGAGCTTGGGACCTCATGGAGCAGATGGTGTGCAGGATGTATAAGTGGGTGCACACAGTGCGCCTGGCCAGTAACTAGCACAGTATGCCGCCCAGAACTCATCAGTCGAGGTGCTTAAGAAGAACCCTCCCCAAATATTGGGATCAGAATATCAGTACTAATTTGTATGCCAATGCCACCCTTCAGAATGAAGCAAAGGTTTCAGATAGGAGCTGATTTTTTTGGGGATGAAACTGCAGGAAAAGGAAATGAAGCTATCTACATCTACTTACATTGGCATTCCAGGTGGTTTGTTGACCACAATGGTGGCCATATTCCCAAGGGAAAAAAATTACAGATTACAATAATATCATTTAGCATCCAGACTAATCAAATACCTTTGAAAAAAATAGATATATAGTATAGATATATATTTACGCCATGTAAATCTGAAAGCTACATAGAAATCAATCTGATTCTCATTACCACGGCACTACTCCCCCATCTTTTCCTGAAACCTTTAAAACAATTAAAATGATGTATATTACTACAATAGAGGATTAAAAAAATACTCGACCAGAGGGAGAGACGTCCAAGATTTTGTCCTAAAGAAGAATACCTTGGCTTCGAACCGAGGCCGGTTACGGGGGTTTCAGTACCCACTCTCCAGAGTTCATCACTCTACTGTTGCACCGCGGTAAGCTTTGGTACTGCACTAGAGGACTCGGTTACTAACAAAAATATTGTGCTATATAGCCCCATTAGGCTACATCTAAAAACTGGCTCAGTTTACAATATCATTGGTGTTCATCCACGCCACTTTTTTCTTTGTCAATAAACCATAACTACATCAAAACATGATATACATGTGTGCAAGATGAACTGTAAAATAACCAGGCTTTGTAACATGGCACAATACAGTATGGTTGCATGAAGAAATACTGAAGACAGAAACTGCAGGAAATGAAAAATGAAGAGAACAATGGCAAAGATTTGTGGCTCCACAAACTTCCCCAAATAATGAAAGAATGTCAATTAGATCGTCCTCCTGATAATTACTAAAAATACAGATGAAAGTTTGTGAAAAACTGAGGCATATTATCAGTTCATGTCACTATTTGGTCAGTGATTGATGTCGCATCATACAAATTATAAACCATGATGACAAGTCACCAACTTTCTCATTCATGTAATGGTACTAGGGGAAGATAGGTCATAACCGAAGGAAAAATGATTTGACAGTCCGTTGTTTTACAAACAAATGGCCCCATGAACCAAATGTCCATGATGCATTGAGTGTCAAATTCTCAAGCGACAAAGGAAGGAGTGCAAAATCGACAAAATGCCATAATCGGTGGAGTAACTCTGTACCAACCACAAAGAATAAGGCTTCGTTTGGGCATTGTGGTCACTTTTTCAAAAGCACTTATTTCTTTCTAGATCTGGACATGAGAGTTGACTATTAGGTATTAGCATCTTTTTAAGATCCAAACCAGAAAGTAACAGTTCCGACACATTGCAGCACAGCACAGCAACCATAGGTTTATATATACTAGATGAAGGAAAATATTTGATCTAATCGCCATTTCTGTGTGAAGAGTATAAGTTAAACTGCTCCACCTTAATGTAAACTACTTTGCTTTAAGATAATTTTTTTAAAGAGATCAGAACAGAAGAAAACCCCTTCAAGTTTTACCATACTCAAACTACAGATTCCATTTCTTCCAAAGAATGTCATAACTCACATTTTCTCAAAACTGCACATATGCCAGAAAATTAGCAAATGCATAATGTATCCTAACTCACTACATATGATACCAAAAAAATATATATTTGCAAAGACAAAACAGATAACGCGCGCAGGGGGTGGGGTGGGGTGGGGGGTGGGGGGGTAAAAACAGAAAACCATCTACCACTGATTTACTCATGCCATTCGTTACCCTTCTCAACCGGTGTTGCTGCAATGATAGAATCCATTGAATACGTATGAGCAGTCAATGGTTGTTCAAAAGTTAAAAGGGGATAAGAATAAAATGACATGTATATATGTAAAAGTAAAACACAGAATAGGATGCTAATCTACTGCATTTGAACCTCAACACTTTCGGAATTCAATTTCACACATGGCAACAACATGCTCCAGAATATTCTTCACCAAAGAACATAAAGGAAGCAGCAACCTGAAGTACCTCAAGCTTACAAAAAAACTCTGGCAAGGATTTGTGTTGTCGCATGAGCACTCGGCCTGGAAGAAACTCGGATGGATGCAGTTTTCCTTCTATTGAAGCAATGCTGGTGGTCACAGAGTAAGAGTGTCATGTTTTGGAATATTTGTGCATACTTAATCGATTGATAATGGATACAAATTTGGAATTTTCTATCAGTAAATACTACTCTATAAACTGTCGGTGCTACTCAATTGTTCGTTGCTCCTCTGTTTAATTATGTGTGAGCATAGTATACTATCAAGTATAGTGAAAACAGAATGTGTGTGAGATCTGACACGAGAACAGAAATTTGTTTCTCTTGCTTTGAGAGTTGTACTAGTTGATTTAAGAGTGTAAGTTTTGCATGGGGGCTGAATTTGCATCCAAAGCAAGATAACTTGCAGCATGCCAGCCTTTTTGTACATGATGTAAAGCTAAACAGCTACAGAACCATCCCCCACAAGGATCCATCAAGAAGGTAACCATGGACAGGACGAACACTAAGCATACCGTGTCTCACTTTCCAAGCTGTACAAATTAACTTAGAGGGATGGCTGGAGGGGCAAAGGCGGTGGAGCATTTGATCGAGCACGTGAAGCTCGCACCTTGCGGAGCCGGAACAACTTCTGCAGCAGCGACGCTGGCAGCAACGGTGGACCCGCCTGAACGCCGTGGCGTTGGAGCCTGCACCTTCCCTTCCCCCGGGAATCGGCTCCCACGGCGGCGTTGGCGACGAGCAGCGTCAAGGGAGAGAGACTAAGCCGCCGGTGTAGTTGCGACGTCGCTGGCGGCAGCTCGTCGCCGGAAGAGGTGCCTTCCGACTTCCGCCCCTCGGCGAGCTGTTGGATCACGAAATGAAGCCCATCCTCATGGATGGGCCGGTTTTTGGGCCCAGCTAAACAAAGCGTCGATTAATTAACATGTACATTTTTCTAAAAAAAATTAACATGTACATGGTGTTTTAATTTTCAAATAGCTTATTGATTATATGATTAATAACATTTTTTTGTGAGGACATAATTGCAATTTACTTGTGAAATATACAGCTACTTACGTTTTTCATTTCATAAATCTCACATTAAAAGATAGCACGTAAAAAATTAATATGTATTCAATGAACTTTTTAGGTATACAACAACAGCATGACTTGTGTGGTTTC